TATATATGTAGAAATCATAAAAAACTCCTAAATCATTTATTTGTTTTCAACGCCTGCTAATTTCCGGAAATTAGTCACTTCAACAGCCTTCGATAGTTATACAGGTATCCACATACGAACGAGATGGATGCTTGTGTTCGCAACCATTCTTTCACTCCAAAGCACAAAAAGAAGTGGTTGATTTAAAACAAAGTTTTCATTTTGTTGATTCCTAGATGTAGTGATTATTCCCCTATGTTCTTTATTAGCACTAATAAAATAGGATTTACCAGTCCAACCTATAGGTCTAACCTTCCGCTTAAGACTAAAATTGATAAATCAAATCTAGCATTTTAGGTTACATTAATCGAGGATTACACGACAGAAGGAATTGTTAAATTGAATAAAAACTTCACCTTCAATAAGCGGAGATTTTTTTCAATCACTTAATCAATAACTTAACGTGTCTGTATTTCTCATAAAACTTAGAAAAATTATTCAAGATGAAAGAAAAAAAGAACGAAATGATAAATCAATAATCAAATCACACCATCTCTGTAATAGGTAAATGCCGCTTTTTCTCCTGCTGTTGTCGGAATTAGTCGTAATAAGATATTCGCGACAATTGAAAAGGTTTTATCAATAAAATTTCCATTTATTCGAGATCTAGACATAGGTAGAAATCCATTTTTCATTTTATTCTGCTCGTGTGGGCCCACATAAACAGAATTTTAGAGTACAAATACGATAGTACAAAATAACATAAAATATATTGAAAAATAAAATCTAGAAAAATCTTTCTAGGATGAAAATAAACTCACTAACAAGATACAGAAGAAAACCTTGGTTTTCTAAATCTGAGTCTTTTTTTTTCAAAACAAATTTTGTTCAAAATTTGCTTTGACTTGATATATTGGTCATATAATCTAATAATCCTAAAAATTAAAAATAAGGAATATAAAATACTCGCTACTCACTCGTATTTTTAGACTTTTAGACATACTATTTATATAGGAAAGATGGCCGAGTGGTTTAAAGGCGTAGCATTGGAACTGCTATGTAGGCTTGTGTTTACCGAGGGTTCGAATCCCTCTCTTTCCGTACCTTAAGTCAATTTACCGAATTGACTATCACCAAAGGATTCAACCCTAGCAATGAATCTAGTGATCCCTTGGCTCTTTATCTCTGAGACAGAGCTTTAATAAAGTAGCATCAAACCCGGATTTATCTTAGTTCACTTTAAGTAAATTGAGTTTCCCGAAAAAAGTTGGAGTAACCTCTATTATGTTCGTTAGATTTAAGTCTGACGAGAATAATATTCTACGACTAGCAATTCATTTATCTTCAAACCGACCGATTTAGTATCTATTATGTTATTTACTAAGCCTTTATACGGCGCTGGGTGAATGGTTAAATGGTTTGGTAATTCCTCGTGATAATTTTGAAAAAGATCTCCTACTGATTTTTGGTTATTCTTCGGCGTAATAATATCTCGAGGTTTGCAGCGATAACTGGGTATATTGACTATACGATCATTCACTAAAATATGTCGATGGTTAACTAATTGACGAGCTGCAGGAATAGTAGAAGCCATACCCAATCTAAAAAGTATGTTATCCAAACGCATTTCAAGTAATTGGAGTAAAACTTCCCCTGTGGACCCCTTGGCTTTTCCGGCAATCCGAACGTAGTTAATTAACTGACGTTCTGTAAGACCATAATGAAAACGCAATTTTTGTTTTTCTTCTAGGCGAATACGATATTGAGATTTTTTCACGGAACGAGATTGGTTTCGAAGATCCCGTATATCGCTAGGCTTTTTATTAGTTAGCCCTGGTAAAGCCCCAAGACGGCGTATTTTTTTGAAACGAGGTCCCCGATAACGCGACATAAATACTCCTTTTTTTTATTATTGTTTAGTATTTCAATACATATGTATTGTTGCTGTGTACTCTGATATTCTATTATGATGCTTTATTTTTAATTTCTATAAGTCCCCTCCCTCGTCGCTCTAGAATTATCTGTGTCATTATCTCTATCACTATCTTCTCTCCTATTATCACTAGAATTAACTTTCTTAGTGTCACTATCAGTCTATTTCTAAGTATCGCTCTCTGTTCAACAATCCAAAAGTTATCCTCCCAATTGTTCATCGTAATATCTCCTTAAGATAAATCTTAATATAAATAAAGCCTTTTTTTTTATTATGTTTCTGATTTCAGATTTGAGCTATGCTTTTTTAACTTGAAAAGAACCACCTATTAAATATTTAATTTCATATTTAACCTATCTAGATCATATATCATATATTTTATATTCATATATAATATTTCATATGGATTTTAACGGAAATATTTAGAATAGATATATTTTAATATAAATTTAATATAAACATAAATTTAAATACTAATATGGATGATAAACGGAAACCCTATTTTCTATATAACGTTTGATATTGAAATGTTCAAATTGAATAAAAAGAAGAAATAGCAATATAAAACCTTAATAGAACCTTACGAAACTCTACCCATCTCTTTTTTTTATGTTATATATATGATATTTGATAGATAAAGAAATCGTATGCCAGGAACCAGATTTGAACTGGTGACACGAGGATTTTCAGTCCTCTGCTCTACCAGCTGAGCTATCCCGACCCATTCCCAAGATAGATACTCATTTGATTAGGTCGTGGGATATATATCTATATCTATATCAATTCTACATTCTACAATTCTATATCAATATCAATGCAATGAAAAGATAAAAAGCGGATTACAAACTTTTAGAAAAGTCCTAAAATTGAGTTTTATTTTCACTTCAAAACTCAAATATGTTACTTTTGAATTCAAGTATTCAAATCGCTCACAGGAATAAGACTTATTAGAACTTATAATAAAATAATAAAAGGACCTTTAGACTTTAGTTTTCACTTTAAACAACCACAAAAAACCACCACTAAAAAGACAAAGGGAGGGGATAAGGATAGGAATCTACTAGGTTTTTGGGGATAGAGGGACTTGAACCCTCACGATTTTTAAAGTCGACGGATTTTCCTCTTACTAAAACTTTCATTTTTGTATGTATTTACATGTAGAAAAGGACTCTCTCTTTATTCTTGTCCCATTCAGAAGTTTGGTTCGTAAAATCGAAATTTCAGAATCTATTATGGAATTAATGATTCAATAAATTCAATGAATATTAAAGTAGTTAGTTTAGTCAAATCCCTTTGTTAGAATAGCTTCCGTTGAGTCTCTGCACCTATCCTTTAAGTTTTTTCAAAAGGATTTGGATCAGGATTGCCCCTTTTATTAATTCCAGGGTTCCCCTGAATTTGAAAGTCATCACTTAGTAAGTTTCTATACCAAGGCCCAATCTAATTAAGTCCGTAGCGTCTACCAATTTCGCCATATCCCCTTTTTTTATGTTGATCCCCCGTATGGGGAGGCATCTCGTGTACTCATTTATTTCATTTAGCTTCAAACATTCCATTCATTAGCATTCATCAGAGAGTTTTTTCTCTTCTTTTATTTTTTAGCTAGCTAAAAAATAAAGTACATTCAAAGATTCAAATAAATTTCTTTTTTGTTTACTCATTCTAAATAAGAATGAAATCTTCCCACGTTTTTTTCTTTTTTTTTTATTGAATTATCGTGTATATTCAAGTTCGGCCTGCTTAGCTCAGGGGTTAGAGCATCGCATTTGTAATGCGATGGTCATCGGTTCGATTCCGATAGCTGGCTTTTCCATATGGAAAATCGCTTTTTGAAATCATAGTAGCAATTGACTCACATCGGAACTTACAACTATCTTAATCAAAATTTTGCTTCCTTTCTAAAAAAATAAAAAAAAAAATTCTTTTCAAAATTTATTTCCTTTAGTAGTTACGATTTTGTGATGTAAATAATTTATTGTCAAGATTAATTCACATTATTATGATTATTATATTAATGAATGATTAATGATTAGTGATTATACTTATTATCTATTTATATTATCTATGTATATTATATGAAAAATATAAAAATATCCAAACCAAAATATTTGAAAAGTTTGAGTGACATTCCTTATTCGGAATAGAATATTTATAATACATTGAATTTCTATTGATGGGCGGGATTTTATTGTATTTTCTGAAGCATATAAAAATATCTACTTAACTCAGCGGTTTAGAGTACTGCTTTCATACGGCGGGAGTCATTGGTTCAAATCCAATAGTAGGTAGAACAACTTATTAGATACCATCCACTGAGATATCTAATAAGTTTGTGACCTATCCTTTTGAATATAGATTCATGTATTTTTAAAAGAGCGGCTTTTTAGGAAATATTATGGATCGCCTTTATCCGTGTTTGAGCTCGGCGTAGAGCTAGATTTGCCTCAATTTTTTGTCTCTTTCCTCCAGCTTTTTTTAAAATATCTTTTGCTATTTTAAGAGTTTGCTGAGCTTCTTGGGGATCAATCTCACTACCTTTTTCAGCATCATTTACCAAAACAGTGATTTCATTATTCGCTATTCGAGCAAACCCCCCCATCAGTGCCGTCGTTAACCATTGGCCGTTAAGGCGTATTTTCAAAATACCTATATCTACAGCTGTGGCAATAGGTGTGTGATTGGGTAATATTCCAATTTGCCCACTATTAGTGGATAAAATGATTTCTTCCACATCTGAATCCCAAACAATTCTATTAGGGGTCAGTACACAAAGTTTTAAAGTCATTTATTCAAATCCTTCCCTATTTTTAAATTTCTACTTTTTTAAGTGAATTGCCTTCGCGGTAACTTCATTGATATTCCCTACCAAATAAAAAGCCTGTTCAGGAAGACCATCTAATTCGCCAGCAAGGATTAAAAGAAATCCTCTAATTGTTTCAGCGAGACCTACATATTTACCTGGAGAACCGGTAAATATTTCTGCTACGAAAAAAGGTTGTGATAAGAAACGCTCAATTTTTCGCGCTCTTGCCACGTTTAAACGATCTTCTTCGGATAATTCGTCGAGCCCAAGAATAGCTATAATGTCCTGAAGTTCTTTATAACGTTGTAAAGTTTGCTTGACTCGTTGCGCAGTTTCATAATGTTCCTCACCAACGATCCGAGGTTGCAGCATCATTGACGTTGAATCTAAAGGATCAACTGCTGGATAGATACCTTTAGCAGCTAAACCTCTTGAGAGTACGGTAGTTGCATCTAAATGTGCAAATGTCGTAGCAGGGGCAGGATCAGTCAAATCATCTGCAGGTACATAAACTGCTTGTATCGAGGTTATGGAACCCTCTTTGGTGGAAGTAATTCTTTCTTGCAAAGAACCCCATTTCTGTACTCAAGGTCGGTTGATAACCTACAGCAGAAGGCATTCTACCCAGTAAGGCGGATACTTCTGATCCCGCTTGAACGAAACGAAATATATTATCAATAAATAGAAGTACATCTTGCCCATTAACATCTCGGAAATATTCCGCCATAGTTAGGGCAGTCAAACCAACTCTCATACGAGCTCCTGGTGGTTCATTCATCTGACCGTAAACTAGGGCCACTTTTGATTCTGCAATATTTTGGTCATTAATTACTCCGGATTCTTTCATTTCCACATAAAGATCATTTCCTTCGCGAGTACGTTCACCCACTCCGCCACAATACGGATACTCCTCCGTGCGCTTTGGCAATATTGTTAATTAATTCCATAATGAGTACTGTTTTCCCCACTCCAGCTCCCCCGAAATAGTCCGATTTTTTCCTCCACAGCGATAGGGGGGCTAAAAGATCTACTACTTTAATTCCTGTTTCAAAAATCGATAATTTTGTATCTAACTGTATAAAGGCGGGGCGCAGATCTATGAATAGGAGATTTTTTATTAGTATCGACAGGCCCCTAAATTATCAACAGGTTCTCCGAGCACGTTGAAAATTCGTCCCAGAGTTGATCCACCGACCGGGACACTTATAGGAGCTCCCGTATCAATCACTTCCATCCCTCTCATTAGACCATCTGTATCACTCATAGCTACAGCTCGAACTCGATTATTTCCCAATAATTGCTGAACCTCACAAGTCACGTTCATTTGTTTACTGGCTTGCCCTTGAACTACTAGAGCATTATAAATATAAGGCATCTTGCCAGGGCGAAAAGCTACATCTAGTACCGGACCAATTATTTGGACGATATGTCCTATATTTTTTTTTTCAATTGAGGAAACCTCAGAACCATAAGTCGTAGGAGTGCTTCCCATAAAAAAAAAATTTACAAAACTTTTCAAATTACAAATAACTGTCCGCAAGCGCAAGATTAATTCAATAAATGTAATAAGAAAAAAAGGGGGGATTCTCGCTGTCTTTTTTTATATTATCCAGATATTATCCAGTATCCAATCAATTTAATTTTTGTCGAATGAAGGAACTAAAATAGGTAAATCATTTTAAAGTGGAGGAATAAAAATATTGGGGAAAGTATTTCATTAGAATTTTTTATTTCTATCCCATTAGTTTTTTTAATTTTTTTATTAAGTTAGAGAGGTAGTGTAAAAAAAGTGAAATTGAAAAACTGGGTTGCACTAGATATACAAAAGAGTATACAATATTGATGCATTTGAAAAATGACTCAAATGCTTTTAGTTTAAAAATAAAAAATTAGGATTTAGTTGATAATAGATAATATTGAGTACTCGGGGGGGAATTTTGTGAACGATTCCGACCAAAAGCAAAAATTCACGCATAATTTAGGTCGAGTAGATCGTTTTGTTGTCAGAATTATGAATTTATGAGTTATAAGGAGGAATATATGTCACCACAAACAGAGACTAAAGCACGTGTTGGATTCAAAGCCGGTGTGAAAGATTACAAATTGACTTATTATACTCCTCATTACGAAACCAAAGATACTGATATCTTGGCAGCATTTCGAGTCACTCCTCAGCCCGGAGTTCCCCCTGAAGAAGCGGGGGCCGCGGTAGCTGCGGGAATCTTCTACTGGAACATGGACAACCGTGTGGACCGATGGACTTACCAGCCTTGATCGGTACAAGGGCCGATGCTATCGCATTGAGCGTGTTATTGGAGAAAAAGATCAATATATTGCTTATGTAGCTTACCCTTTAGACCTTTTTGAAGAAGGTTCTGTTACGAATATGTTTACTTCGATTGTAGGTAATGTATTTGGGTTTAAAGCACTCCGCGCTTTACGTCTCGAAGATCTTAGAATACCTCCAGCTTATACTAAAACTTTTCAAGGTCCGCCTCACGGCATCCAAGTTGAGAGAGATAAATTGAACAAGTATGGGCGTCCTCTGCTGGGATGTACTATTAAACCCAAATTGGGGTTATCCGCTAAAAACTACGGTCGAGCGGTTTATGAATGTCTTCGTGGTGGACTTGATTTTACCAAAGATGATGAGAATGTAAACTCACAACCCTTTATGCGTTGGAGAGACCGTTTTTTATTTTGTGCCGAAGCAATTTATAAATCACAGGCTGAAACAGGTGAAATAAAAGGGACATTACTTGAATGTTACTGCAGGTACATGCGAAGAAATGCTAAAAAGAGCTTTCTTTGCTAAAGAATTGGGAGTTCCTATTATAATGCATGACTACTTAACAGGGGGGATTCACTGCAAATACTTCTTTGGCTCATTATTGCCGTGATAATGGTCTCCTTCTTCACATCCACCGTGCAATGCATGCAGTTATTGATAGACAAAAAACTCATGGTATACACTTCCGCGTACTAGCGAAAGCGTTACGGCTATCCGGTGGAGATCATATTCACGCGGGGTACTGTAGTAGGTAAACTAGAAGGGGAAAGAGAGATGACTTTGGGCTTTGTTGACTTATTACGCGATGATTTTGTTGAACAAGACCGAAGTCGTGGTATTTATTTCACTCAAGATTGGGTTTCTTTACCCGGTGTTATGCCTGTGGCTTCTGGGGGTATTCACGTTTGGCATATGCCTGCTCTAACTGAGATATTTTGGGGATGATTCCGTACTACAGTTTGGGGGAGGAACTTTAGGTCACCCTTGGGGTAATGCGCCTGGTGCCGTAGCGAATCGAGTCGCTCTAGAAGCATGTGTACAAGCTCGTAACGAAGGGCATGATCTTGCTCAGGAAGGTAATGAAATTCTTCGACAGGCTAGTAAATGGAGCCCTGAACTAGCTGCTGCTTGTGAGGTATGGAAGGAGATTCAATTTGACTTTAAACCAGTGGATACCTTGGATCCAAATGAGAAGAAAGAAAGAGATAATAAGGAGGCTCTTGCAGGAGATAAATAGAGATAACTTATAACTTAATTCGGAGATAAGGGATGGGTAGAGGGAATTTAAGCAATCACTAACCCCCTTCTCTTCTGAATTGCAATTCAATTTGGCCCAATCTTTTACTAAAATCATTCAAATACTAAAAAAAGTAAACAGATTGAGCCGTCGGATATCTATCCATATTAATGAGCTTATTATTTAGATTTGGTTTGGGTATAGGTAGACGAGAACAAATAGTTAAACTTGGTAATTGAGGTAGAGTTATATAAAACGACTATTCCATCTATTGCTATTGTGTATTTTCTATTGTATTTTCATGCAAAAAACAAGGGGCAATAATTATGGAAATGTGGGGGGATAATTCATTGGATAAGAAATTTGAACGTGGATCGGACCTAACTAAATCAATGGATGGTGTTAACCGTCCTATTGAAGAAAATAGCAGGCAAAATGAAGATACGAAGAAGCAAGAGATGTTTGAAAACATTCAGACTTGGGAGGATCGTGACAATTCCAGTTGCAGTAATGTTGATTCTGTCTTCGAGTTAAACTATAGTGAAAGTGTCATCTTTGATGACACTTTTCTAGTTAGCGATAGTACTGGAAATAATTATTGCATCTATTTTAATATTTTTAATATTGAAAATTATATTTTTGAAACAAATAATGCTCACTCTTTCTTTAGTGAACCTTTTTATCTTTATTCGAATTCAAGCAATCCCACTCAAATGAATGAAGTGAGTAACGAATATAACTCTCAGATTGATATTGCTGAGTCCATTTATAATTCTATGAAGTTACAAATAGATCCAACTACTATCACTAATAATGAAAATGAGAGTGTTACTGACAGTTCCAGTAATGAGTCCATTGTTTATGGTGAAAGCTGCAATAGGAGCGAAGTCGAGAGTTCGAGTAGACAAATTAACGTAGAGGAAATTGGGATAAAATATCCTGAATTTAACCATTTGTGGATTCTATGTGATAATTGTTATCAAATATATTATAAAAAATTCATTAAATCAAAACATTATATTTGTGAAGAATGTGGAGATTATTTGCAACTGAGTAGTTCAGATAGAATTGATTTTTTGATCGATGAGAAAACGTGGGTTCCTATCGATGAAGAAATTCTTTCTGGGGATCCGATTCAATTTGATATTCCATTTGATGAAGACTCTTCTAAACAAATGATTTCTGAGTGCCTCCTTCAATGTGGAATTATATTGGACAAAATAAAAGAAGACTCTTCTAAAGAAATGATTTCTGAGTGCCTCATTCAATGTGGAATTCTATTGAAAGAAGACTCTTCTAAAGAAAGGATTTCTGAGGACCCGATTCCGTTTGATATTCCATTGAAAGAAGTGAAAGAAGACTCTTCTGAAGAAATTCTTTCTGAGAACCCGATTCCATTTAATATTCCATGGAAAGAAAACTCTTATGAAGAGAATCTTGATTTTTATCAAATAAAAACAGGCTTAACCGAAGCTGTTCAAACAGGTCTAGGGCAAATCAACGGTATTACTGTAGCAATAGGTGTTATGGATTTTAAGTTTATGGGGGGTAGTATGGGATCCGTAGTCGGAGAGAAAATAACCCGTTTAATTGAGTACGCTACAAAAAACTTTTTACCTCTGATTATAGTGTCGGCTTCCGGAGGTGCGCGAATGCAAGAAGGAAGTTTAAGTTTGATGCAAATGGCTAAAATATCATCTGCTTTATATAATTATCAATCAAATAAAAGATTATTTTTATATATCAATCCTTACATCTCCTACAACTGGTGGAATAACAGCGAGTTTCGGTATGTTAGGGGATATTATCATTGTCGAACCTAATGCTTACATTGCATTTGCAGGCAAAAGAGTAATTGAAGAAACATTAAAACAAACCATACCTGATGAGGCACAAGAAGCTGAATTTTTATTTGAGAAGGGTTCATTTGACTTAATTGTACCACGTCATCTTCTAAAAAGCGTTATTAGTGAGTTATTTACGTTTCATGACCGGGGCACTTTCTTTCACTCAGAGTTCAAATGAATTTGAACTTTATTTTATATTGATTTTAGATTGATAAAAATAGTTAGAGGAAAAACTCACAGATACAATATAGTAGAGTAAAAAAAGATAACTTTTTATATGAGTGACTTTCCCTCTATTTTTATACCATTAGTAGGCTTAGTATTGCCGGCAATTGCAACGTTTTATTTATTTATTACTGTTCAAGAAAACTAATAGTTTTTAGATATTTTATATAGTGAGGTCCTCCCTTTTTTGTAAGTTGCCCTTTTGTTGTATCATAACAGGAAGAGCTGTGAAATCGTATTTACTTAAGGCGTTATTATTTTAGATCTAACCAAGTTGATGAATTACCCCTAAAGGTTTACATCAAACTAGTGCTAGTTCTCATCAACTATTATTTGTTTGATGAGAATTACTTTTTAAATAGCAAAGTTCCAAATGAATGGTTTTCTTCTTAATTCCAATAAAATAAAATCGGATGTAATATGAGTTGGCAATCAGAAAATATATGGATCGAACTTAAACCTGGGTCTAGAAAAATAAGTAATTTTGGTTGGGCTTTTATCCTTTTTTTAGGTTCATTGGGATTCTTATTAGTAGGAACTTCCAGTTATCTTGGTATAAATTGGATATCATTTTTTCCAGCCCAGCAAATTCTTTTTTTCCCACAAGGAATAGTCATGGCATTCTACGGAATTGCGGGGTCTTTGTATTAGCTCGTATTTGTGGTGTACTATTTTATGGAATGTCGGTAGTGGTTATGATCAATTCGATAGAAAAAGGGGAATAT